CTATTGCACTCATTTTTTTTTTGGAAAGGGAACTTCCCTAACGAAGGTTTCTGGGCCAACTTTCACGCACTGACTAATCCCCCGCTGCGAACATTAGGCTATGCCTCATGCCCTGGAGTCACTGCAGGCGAACCTCCATGGCCACATGGGCTGAGTAGTGCTAGGATTTGAACATGGGTCAATAGGTTATCCACCATATCTTCCACATGTCTTACCAAGTCACAGGGGCTGAGTAGCACTCACTTTAGCCCTTTGAACCGGTAAACCTTTGATTAGCCGGTTACCCAAGTTTTTAAATCTCTCTTATGTGTTTCTCCTTCTCCCCCTTTTTTTCTCTCATTTTATTTGCAGGTGGGTAACCGAAACTGTGAAGATGAACAAGAATATACCTTTATTTCTCTCGTTTGTTCACCAAGGCCATATGGAGTTTCTCTCATTTGATTTGCAGGTGGGTAACATGTGAGATGGTGGTGTTCTACGGGAGGAGATATGAAGATGGTGGTGTTCTACAAGCTTCTCAACACTGATCTGCTCAAATGTGTCGATTGGGTGATTGAAATCAACCCATATATACACTCGATCCTATTCGTCTTCAAAACAATCCATCATCTTCCTAATGTCTAATTTCCTTTTTTTTCTGATTCTGATTCATAATTAGGATTTTAGGTTACCCTCCATTAACCTTCCCTGTCACCCACTCCTCTATAAAAACCCCTCCATGGTGGTGTTCTACAAGCTTCTTAACACTGATTTGGTCGAACTTTTTCCCTGGTTAATGGTCCATAAAACGGGGCGGAATTGGAAGTCGGAGTTAGTGATGTCGGTGGAGTGGGAGGTGGAAAGGGTTGAAGCAACTGGATTCCAACGTTTCTTTGTACATTGAAGGGTGGTTTAAGGGCGGAAACAGGGACAGATGAAGAAGGTTGTCTCATCAATGGTGAAGTCGGAATGAAATTGGGATGGGGGAAGGGTTGTCACGATATGGTAATGGAATTGGTTTTGAGTTGTGGTAAGTCGGAATGGAATCGAAGAATCCTCAGGTACATCTGTTGACCGGGAGTTGGTCAAACCTAGTTCCAATGGTCCTTTAATTACAACAGATGTAGGTACAACTTCAAGTTCACTAACAAAGCTCATCATTTTCTCGGAAGCACCTCTAATGGCAGAAACTTCTTGAGGGGGATAAAAAGCATCTTTTACATAAACTTCAGTTTGTGGGTTCTTGAATAGACCCGTGATTGACCTAATAATTTCTTTGATTGTTGAACATCTTTTACAGAAACTGCAATTTGAGTCATGGATCGACCTATGGTTGTATGTTTGTTCCATGAGTCTTTTTAAGAGCATGTTTGCTATATTGTTGTTTCCTTATTATTTAACACATATATTATCAATAGATATAGAGATAAGAAATGTATTGAATATATGTGTTTGTAGAAGAGTGAATGAGAGATTACCACAGGAAGCAACAGATTCTTACTCATATCTTACTTCCATGTGAAAAGGTAACCTGGGGGAATGAGTAACCTGTTGAAAAGGTAAAAATAGTTAAAGTGATTACATTACCCGATTTTCTCTCCTTTTTCGTTAATGAAATTTAATTTAGGACTAGATCATAAACTTGCCCAAAACTTTGAGATTTTTCTGGAGATTTCTTTATTTTATTTGTAAACTTATTTCTAAAATAAACTTATTGCAAATGTTTACATGGCAAAGGAATTAAAATAGAAATTGTCGCTAATGAGTCATCATGAAATGAAGTTTGACAGTTTTTCATTTATTTTTTGCCCACAAGAGAATAGTCCAAACGTGTTATTATTAATTTTTTTTTGCCTTTAGAATTAGTGGAAGGGATAAGAAGAGGCTAGAATACATAGGTCCATATTTACGTTAAGAGGATGACACGAAGACCTTTTTAGGTCTACAGTCTTCCAAAAAACAAACAGTTTGCGGGACCAAACGTTTGCGTGATGTTTGTGTGGCGCATACATAAGAGGTCTAGAAGAGCTTTTGCAAAAAAAAAAAAAAAAAAAAAAAAAACAAACACCACCTTAAAGTTGAGGAGCAAAAATGATAAGTGGCGAGGAGGATTAAATTAAGTCATTTTAAAAGTTTGTATTTTAATTTTAATTCTTAAGTTTGGTCCACTACAAGTTTATAATATATAATATATTTATAAAAATATAAAATTTATAAAAATTGATTTATAATTAAACAGGTTATATCCGAGTTGAAAGTCTTGACCATAACCAAATCCGTTTAATTTTTGTGTCGTGTCGTATCAACCCGTTTACTTAATGTGTCAAAATCTCTCACCCAAACCCGCTAATTTTGTGTAGGGTTCGTGTAGGATTGTCGTGTCGTGTCATGTTTTTTCAGGTCTAATTGCATCGATTGAATAATATACTCAATTGTGACAAGTTTAGAAAACATTTCCTAATGTGAATAATTTTAAACTAAAATCCATAGAAATATTTAACAATGCATGGACTTGGAATCTAATATGACACCCAACGAAAAGGATAAGTGGCGAGGAGGATTAAATTAAGTCATTTTAAAAGTTTGTATTTTAATTTTAATTCTTAAGTTTGGTCCACTACAAGTTTATAATATATAATATATTTATAAAAATATAAAATTTATAAAAATTGATTTATAATTAAACAGGTTATATCCGAGTTGAAAGTCTTGACCATAACCCAATCCGTTTAATTTTTGTGTCGTGTCGTATCAACCCGTTTACTTAAATGTGTCAAAATCTCTCACCCAAACCCGCTAATTTTGTGTAGGGTTCGTGTAGGATTGTCGTGTCGTGTCATGTTTTTTCAGGTCTAATTGCATCGATTGAATAATATACTCAATTGTGACGATTTTAGAAAACATTTCCTAATGTGAATAATTTTAAACTAAAATCCATAGAAATATTTAACAATGCATGGACTTGGAATCTAATATGACACCCAACGAAAAAAATGATGTTCGATAAATCAAAGCTTGAATACCATAATAACACAATCTACGTTCTTCTAATAAATAAATGGGTTTCCGGGCGCCTACTGTGACTTCTTGTTTTGTAAGGATATAAGGGGAGTGTTTGTCCTCTGAGCAATATGCTAAGATACCGAAATCCATAACATACCCTCTCTTGGCCAACTCCTAGTTGAACTCCCAAAACTTGAACACAGGACCTCCCATATAAGATCCCAGTGCCTTACCCGGTAGACCACTAGTCAACTCTTAGTTAAAACACCAAGACTTGAACACTGGACCTCCCATATGGGAGGTCAATGCGTTACCCACTCAACAACTATTTAACTCTTAATTGAAACCACCAAGACTTGAACACCCAACCTCCCATATGAGAGGCCGATGTCATATCCTCTCATTGGCAGCTGTTTGAAACCCCCAGACTTAAATATTGAACCTTTCTTTTAGTGTGGGAACATATTGAATCACAATTTTACAAGATAAGGACAAACCTTGTACTCACAAGATGCAAACACCAAACACGTTAATATGTTTGATATCGACTCAATATGAGTGATGTGATCGGTAGCAAATTTTAAAGTGAGACCTTACACAAGAAAATGAAAGGAACAAAGAACAACACATGTGAATCATGCACAATTAAGAGAGTGTGAGTCAAGTAGGGACCATTAAGTCGTTTGTAAACATGGTGGCAATTTTGGTGTTTTTAAGTGTTGAGCATGACCAAATTTAACGAATGAGGAAAATGGTGGTATCTTTCAAACTTCTAATACAAAATTGATTATAAAAGTTGATGGAATTAGGTAGAGGTGCCCAAGGACCAAAGTCTATTTGGCTTGATATATTAGTTATAACTTATATATTACAAATTAAATTCATTTACTTTTATAAGAAAGAAGGGGATGCGTAAAGAAATATATAACTAAGATGAAAGAGAATATTTTATGGTGACATTTTCTTATTCTAGCGTCTTGCTATTTTATATATGGGTCCGTTAAAAAAAAAGTACATTGTATTCAAATGAAAAATCTAGCTATAGAGATTTGATTCTTAAATTATTACTAATTTACACAAGTTTTTAAATTTAGATCATTACAGGAAAAAAAAAAGATGTAGTTCATTTAAGACCATTTTATATCTATCCCAAAAAGTTTATTTAAAATAAAAATATGCCAATTAACATAGCAAAAAAAGTTCTCATTTTGTAACCTTGTAACTGTGCCAACAAATAATCTTGAAATCAGGCCTAACCGCAGATAACCATGTCTAGACGAACCCCGGTCATAACTCATAAGTAGGGCTTCGATGCAAAACCATTAACTCACATTGAGACACCAAGCTTGATCAAGTCTTGCCAGACCCGACCCAGACCGTGGGCAACCCTAGCCGTCGCCCAAGACCCACGTCTCTAAAGGACCCAAAATTCCTAGAGTATATAATATATATAGAGAGAAAATTTTAACTTGTCTAAAAATGATATGAAAAGTATTATTATTATTATTATTATTATTTTAATTAGTTGTCTTTGTAATCTTATGGCTATATTTGTGTGTGTGTGTTTTCTTTTATTTATTTATTTATTTATATAATATTAATAGTGAATTTCATAATGGTGCATCTATTTTCAATTTAATTTTTATTATATTTATGACTTTGGGGCCTATTTTTTTTTATCGCCTTGGATCCACTATATCTTTGCACCGGCCTGAGTCTTGCAAGCCCTAGGCTAGAACCATGCTCGGTTTGAGTCTCAGACCTAGACTTTGTTTTGCACTCAACTACAACAACAATAGCTATGCTCCAATTCATGTAATGTCATGAGGCAAGGAATGTTAGATTTACTATATAATCTTTACATGTATGCAGGGTAGTAATACTTGAAATATAGTAATAATAAGTCAACCCATTGGTATCCCTACTAGCAACAAAGTGCATTAAGCCGAACAGATGCTTAAAACGGACTAAATATGCAAACTTGGTTTCTTTATAGAATATACGCTTAAAAAAAGAACTATTCAAAAACCAAAAGCAGAACACGACCAATTTTATATACAATGCAATATATCATCAAACTTCATGATAGTACGAGAGATCAACAAATCATCAATCGGTTAACTGTTTTCTTGTTACTTTAAAGTGACTGTACCCTTAAATCTTAATCACTTTCTAACAAACATTTTCGACTTCAATTTCCTAATTGATTTATATACAACAAAGAATTTCCAACAGTTTCTTTGCAAAAGATCACAAATTTAAACCAGAAACACATCCACACATCGAATCATTCTATGGTTCTTGGTGGGCTTTGAGAGTGTCTATCATAAATATCATCAAAAGGAAGATCAAAATTTCCTCCTTCAATATCATCCATATAAAACGTCCTTGATAATAATCTGTTTTCACCCCTCCAATCAAACTGCTGATGATCATGTTCCTCAAAGCTTCTTTCCGAGATATTATCATTGTAGTCATTGTAATCATCCCGAGTGAAGTTCGGAGGCTCAATAAAGCTCGTCTGAGGTCCCACCCCTCGCGGGCCATCGCCCCGAGCCCACCACTGACTCCTGCCCGCCTGCCCGATGCTGCCCGAGTCATGATGTTGCAACACACTTCCACGTAAAAGAGGAGCAGATGTTGATGTGTCCATGTTACTCCCTGCCCGATCATCGAAAAAGCTTCCCCAGTTTTCATCATACGGGACCCGGTCCCGACCCAGGTCAGGCGGGTCCCACACGTTTGCCAGACTTTCTTCAACATCAACCTGCCCGGATTCCATGTCTTGTTGACCGATTGTTGTATGATGATGATGATGATGGTGAGCGGATGATGTGTGGTACCAGTCTAGAATGTAGGGGTGGTTCTTGTGGACAGGGTCAATGAGCCACATGCAATCGAGTTGATAAGCACTTCTTGAAATGTTTGGGCTTCTTGTGTCCCTTGAAAAGTAGCTGTTTGGGTCACCTTGGCCTCGAGGAGCCCATTGTTGCATATGGTCCGGGCCCATGTAGCCCCCTGGCCTTATACCCTGTTCTTGAAACTTTTGCTCTTTGAATGTTTTCAGAGTTGAAAGAAACTGCTTTCCATCTGCGCTTGGTTCCCATGATGGATAGCTACTCTGAAAGCTGCACCATTTTTTTTAAAAAAGATATTGTTAGTCATTGGACGAGGGTATTTCAGACATTTAACACAAACTTGAGGATAGGGAATACCTTAGGAATGATTTCTCCATTTTGCCCTGGGAGCTTCTGTAAGTTCGGGAGGCATTATGTGGCGATCCGTACTTGATATTACCATGCTTTTGGAAGTTGAATGTACTAAAGCTGCAGAAATATATAATTATGGATTTTTTTTATATGTAGAAATTTTAACAAATGAGAAAAATAAAAATTCTGTAACTTAAAAGAGAGAACTTTTTTATGGAGCATACAAACCTACAAACATGGCCAACTCCTTGAACATCAACAGTGAAGTCAGCAATAAACTGCAAAATATCATCAACCCGCTGCAGCATTGAAAAAGTTATATTTAAATTCCATTTTTGAGAGCACTATATCATTTAAAGGGCATTTTAGACATTTTAACAATGAATCCGGTCAAAATATTGCATTCTACATGAGATGGAGGGATACCTTTGGTACTACAAAGATAAGCAAGAATGGAGTTAAAAAGATTGAGGCCATCTCCTCCAGCAGCATCTTCCCAGTGTACTGCATAATAAAATACTTTGCCAAGTCAGCAACATGGTAACAAATAAAAGACATAAATGCCCTCCTCATCCTAATCAGTGTATATAGCTCTCAATGGGTTACCTGAAAAAGAGTTTCAAACTCCACTCGAACATATTCGGTGTTTTCTTTTCCACGCCATCTTTTAGGCATATAATGAGTATGTTGGACAACAAGAGACATAGTGCCATGTGGATCGAGTACAAGAAGCTCATCTGAAACAGCAGCTCGACTAATAGCAGTGATAGCTCCAAAAACAGCTCCATACCAAAACAGATTACGCCCAAAGATCTACAAACAAAACATGAACACCTTCAGTCAAAGCAAATCAATTTGACTTTAATCATGTGTAAAAAAACATTACATGGCCTTCAAGCAGAGACTCCTCAAGGAAAGCAATGATGATCAAGATTGCAGCAAAGCCACCCGAGACAAAAGATACAAACTTTGCAACGATTGATAGAATTGGAGATGGGAATTGTTTTAAATAATCTGAAGCGTGTGTAACACTGCTGTTGATTCGGTGCTTGAACAGATGATCCACCTTAAAGAACATAAGATTTCAGATAAAAAAAAAACATTAATGGCAAAGAAAAGAATTGTCATAATAAATAAACAAAGATTAAGGGAAAAGATTACCTCGTTGAATTCACGGAATATCCATTTTGAAAGATTTGACCATCTTCTTGATGAAGCTGTACTAGGATGATTGTAGAACTGTTCAGCATGTCTTAGAAAAAGATACACAAGCATAAACACAACCAGAAATGGAGAGAGGAGAAGCATTGCAATCCCAACTACCATTAACCTTTTCTTTAAGGTATTGCGATCGCTTACAAAGTCCTTTCTGATACAAAAGTTTCTGCACAAGATTTTATATAATTTTAGCATACACAACTAACTTAAGGGTTGTTTCTTTTTGACTTAATGAGCTTAAGGGTTTAGGGTCTTAATCCGGATTCTGGATAGCTATACATGACTGTTTCTTTATTAAGACACCAACCTTTCACATATTTGCCCTTACTTTTTTACCTTCCAACTCCTCTCACGATATAACTAATGAATATTGGTAAAACTGATGAATAGTGCAAGTACTGTTTGTTTGAATGTGAGGGTAAAATGGTCATTTAGTCTCATTCGGACACTTTACCAATACAGGACTTAATCTGGTATGCTATATATGTCCGTTTCTTTTTGACTTAATAAAGAAAGAACAAACCTTTCCTATCAAACATAAGTAATTTAAGAGAGAGATCACATACCTATCAAACATGCTATGCAATATGCACCAGTTTAGAGTCCATTCAAGGGTCTTGGTTAGCATGAGGCAATAACGTGTACCATTTGGACCTTTCTTGACGGTGGGCCCCGCACCCGGGACCCACGAAGATATCGGGAAGCTTAGCACCCCTTTGTTCAACATGCCAATCAAATAATTTTCCTTCCTCATCAATCGCATCACAATATCATGAGCAGAAAGATCCTTCACCACACATAACTGCTGTGATTCTTGAATTTGAACTACCTTTTCAAGAATCGATGCCCATGGTGTTGTTTGCATCTCATTGTCAGTCACACCAAGACTTGCAAAAAAAAATTTCAAAAAAGTTAGAAACTTTAGTTATTAAAATCGACAAAACATATCACTTATTAATATGATCACATGCTACAAATACCTGTTAATGTAGAATTGGCGTATTTCTAGTGTATCCTTAAGCTGTACAAAGAACCGTAAAAAGCAAAAGATCCAGTAAACAAATGTGATTCCAAGATAACCAAGGATTACTACTTTAAAAGGCGTTAATGGTGTCAATGGATGTTGATGAAGAGCCTCTTTAGCAAGATCACATGGTTTTATCCCGAATTCAACTGCATCCATTCCACATTTTGCACTTCGAAGACCATTCCAATCAACAAATAGTAAGAAAAAACCAGAGAAACATATGGTAAAAGCCAAGCTCAAAAGTTCAACAATCCACTTAATGATTATGCACCATAGACCTTTTTCACAGTAGTAGCTATAAAGCCTCTCAAAGAAGAGATCTAAATCAGCAATTGGTTTGACTTTCAAGCTTTCACCATTAAGAAGCCCAGAAGGGCTTTCAGAACCTGGACTTGGTGCTCTTTGGTAATCAGACAACTCGATTTCAGGGGGAACATCGTTGACAAATGTTGTATAAGATGATTCTCCAAGCAATTTTTGTTTCAGATTCTGGAGAGCGCCTTTTTGCCCACCAAACATCATTCATATATTATGTTTATAAATATGCATAAACAGAAGCAAGTCGTCCATACCCCAAAATAATTACAAGATGATCCTGAAAAGGGTGAAAAAGCACAAGAGGATCATACAAGACCCCACAAGTTAACATGCCCAATAAGTTTTCAAGTATCTGTTTAGATATAGCATCACTAACCAATTCAATCAAGTTTATGCAATGTCAAGATATTAGATGTATCATTTTCTCTCACAAAACTAAAGTTCCAAGAAATCAGCAGCACCCGGAAAAGATAAAAATCATCAACTCAATAACCAGAATTGCATCACAAGTTAAGAAAAAAAGCAATTCAAGAGTTGCAGAATAATGTAAAAAAAATACAAAGATTGTATCTTTTATAACTATTATGTCATCCAATAGCGAGTTAATGTTCTTGAAAGAAATTTGGGGAATAATCTGTTGTCAGATAAACTAAACCCACATCAAAAGATTCAAGAAATTCCACCTGGGTTGCATAAAACTAGTGTATAATTTGTGCTATTTTCTTGGGAAAGCCTAGATATCAAAACTTTAAAGCAGTTTACCTGTGGGAAGACAAAACGACAAACCACCGTTCACCGAATTTATAGATTGATTATCACAAAGAAATCTTTGCAGTGTAAAGTAAACCCCAGAAACCTTAATCGACGAAACAATGAAACCCCAAAAACGATTGAGCAATTAATTAAGTGTGTGACAAAAAGAAGAAAACGATTGGAAGGAAGGAAGCAGAAAGGAGAGCAAAAGAGAAATCCGGTTGTGATTGCGTGAATGGAAAAATCGAATTTTTTTTTTGTTTTTTGGTTTCTCCCCTTTCTTTCTTTTTTTATGCTGTATATTTCTTTCAGTCCAAGAAGCTTTTTTTTCATCTACTGATTCTCTCTCTCTCTCTCTCTCTGGAGACTTTGATTTAACAAACAAGATGAAGACGTGAGAATGATAATTACTCTTTGTGTTTCCTCGTAATCCTCGTTTACAATTCTATATCCACCGATGTATATCTATCTATCGCCTTCAGATTAAACTAGGCCCAATGGGCTATCAATTAAAACTCATCGTAAATGGGCTGGGCTATGATTCGCCACCAACGGCTAACTATTAAATACCATACCAAAATTAGAATTTAAACCTAATACCCCAACGGTCATAATTTACAACTATATATCAGTACATATATTTTTTTATACCTTTGACAAAAATTGATTATAGTGCTATTTCTCTAGATAAAGGTTCATCAATAGTGGCTGTGAATGTGATCGAAGTGGTGAAGCTTGTGTTTCTCAAAGAAATCGTTACTCGATTACGATACAACAATATAATCAGGTATTTTGCTTTTATTTATTGATTTTTGCAATTTTGTATTTGTTTTTTTTGCAGGGGAAAATATTTAAAGCACAATAAGAATCAACACTGAGAGATTTTTGTAAGTATTTATTGCTAACTTAATCATATCAAATGCTTTTAATTTCAGCAATATAAAAAAGATGCATACATAGAATCAACTTTACAAAATATTCATTTTAAAAAGGTTAAAGGTCAAAAAGTCAAAAAGTCAAAAATCATTAATAGTTTTAGCATATAAAATTACACTTGATTTTTTAGGATGCAAATAAAGCAACATCGGTTTATAGTGGTCAAAATTTAAATATTTAAGATTTGGGGTTAAAACGTGATTTATTTAAATACACGAGATTTTTTGGACCCAAATAAAGAAAACCTTAATTTTGGAGATCCAACTTAAAAGATATAGACTTGAAGGTGTAAAAAAGAAACATAAACAGTTACAAACGCCTCCCCTCCCGCGTCCACGTAGGATTTTGGCGCGAACGCTGACCTGTCAATTACACACGTCTATCTCCCACGTAAGCATTCGCGCCAAAAAGAAAACCCTATTACTCTGCCATCGCTCTCTATCGTTTCCATCTTCACTCGTTTCCTCACAACACACACACACCCCCTCTGAGGAAATGGATTCCGCCGGAGCTTCTTCGTCGCCGTTTGATTCGTTCAAATCAAAGAAAGTCCTTCGCTCCTCCGTCAGCAAACAGCACTCTGCCGATGAAGCATGTGGAACACCAGATCAGAGTCTGTGGAGCTCCAAAACTCCTGAAAAGCCCACATATCCGCCTCGAAGATCTCTCACCCGCCGCCAACCATTGCGTTCACTGCGTCAAGTCAAGGAAGCGGCCAAGCAGCTCCGAAAATCAGATCTGAAGCCTTCTGTTCCCTTTGACCCGTTAGAATCCTCCGATATCCCAAGCGAAACCCCAATCACGAAACCCAAAACCCCCAAAGCCCTTCCAGAAAGGTACATATCATTTTCCCCTCTTTTGAATAGTATTTCTTATATTTCAACTAAATGCTGATGAATCGAGTATTACCCTTGTTTAGGTACGAGATATTGGATAAATTCTTCAATAGCTTGCAATCGTCAATAAGAATTCTTCACTTGAAAGGATCTGCGTCGACGTTTACAAACATTAGCCGTGCGGTTGAGAGTTTAACAGACAGGTATATGAATATAATCGCTCAAAACGTCTATATGGTATGATGGGATTGTGGGCGACTTTGCTAATTTGTTTTTCTGGCGTATTTGATTGTACAGGAGGTTCACCTATCGTCATCTAGCTCAGCTCAAGTTTATTTTACCTGAGGGGATCGAGATAAAGAAGATTCTTCTCCGCGATGACCTCACTAGTTGCATGAAACCAGATCTTGATGTGACTTTGAACTTCAGCATTATTCAGGATGATGAAAAGCTCAAATCAGAGAACAAGAATATACAGATGAAGAAATTGTTTCGATCCCGGCTTGTGAGCTTCCATAAATCAAATCCCGAGGTATTGATTTATTGACTCGCTTGATATTAAATTAGTTTTTTTTATGTATCAAAGTTTACGAGTTGATGTGATTAATAATGCTTCTTTTTAATTAGGGAGATGAAGTTCCAGAGGAGATGTTACCCGAGCCATTCAATCAATCCAGCTGTGTGACATCTTCAAATGCGATGAAAAAACCCAATTTGCGCTCAGTTCAGGATACAGTTTCCCAACAGCAACAGCAGACTGTGGTAGCATCTCATATGCCTCAATCTTTCAAGAGATGTTTCTCAAAGCAAGCTTCTGACCATAGTTCCACCAAAATAGCTTGTGTACCCATGGCTCCATCCCCAATTAAAATGTGTTCAAAGCTACCTGAAACTCCACTCAAGAGCTTTTCAAAGAAGGGAGATGACGGAACTCCAGCCAAGCTTATTTCGACTCCAATCAGTGCTACACCTGCACAAGCAGCTTATCGGCCAGTAAGGAGTATTATGACCCCTGATGATGATGAATATTCAGTCATGTCTCCTACCAAATCAACGCCTAGCAAATTAACAAGGCGTTCAGGTGGCAGAAGATCAATAACGTTTGACACTCCTGTCAAAAGGGCATCTGATGATGATGATGATGATTGTGATATTCTTTCAGGGGATCTCTTTGCATCGGTATGTTTAATCAATTTATGTTTTTCTTGCTTTGGACATTTTGTGTGAATGTTTTTTTTTTTTTTTTTTTTTTTGATGAATTGAATAATAACTTGTTGCTATATCTCTTTTCAGATTAAAGAAAAAGAGCGGAAAGCAAAAGAGGAGAATGATCCAGCAATCTCACATGCTAAATGGAGGAAACAAATGATTGCAGGGTTACCCAAGCTTTTTGACTCTCTTTTGTTTATTTTTCAAAAACGTTCAGTCATCACAAAAGTGGAGCTCATACGCACAATAATCTCATGCCGTTTGGAAATTGTTGATAGAAGTAAGTCTTTTCATGATCATGGTATATATACATATCCTATCAATTTCGTCACTATAAAAGCCCAAATCTAATTCTAATTTTACCTACAGGAGAAGTTGAGGAACAACTCATGTTGTTGCAAGAACTAGCACCTGAATGGATTCATCAGAAAATGGCATCCAGTGGTGATCTTCTCTTCTGGTAAACCCAACAAAATATAATAATAGTATTCAATTTCATTTGCTTCCCTTTAAATCATTCTTAAAGTTAACTTTTCCTTCAAATGCAGTGTTAACAAGATATCAAGCCCAGAGTCAATTCGCACAAGATTATCAGAAGCTAGCTAAGTTGATGCTCGTTAATTAGATTGTAAATATTTTCACCCTTTTATTTTTTTAATTAAAGATTTTGCTAAAAGTTTTAGGTCAATCAGTTATCCTCTTAGTACCTTGTTTAACATCATAGAGATAGTATCTGGTTGGTTGTATGCTGCTTGATATTAATATATGGAATAAAAAAGAAGCATTAACTTTTGTCAATATATGGTTTCATTGTTTTAAGATTCTTGAGGTCGTCGTCCTTTTCTTGTCTCTTTCCTGTAAGAATCATTTAGCATCTGTAAACCTTTCCTTCTTATATACGAGTAAAGAGTTTGATAAGATACACAAGAAACCAATTATTATTATTATTATTGGATCTTTAAAGATGATGCAAAGAGAAATGTTGGAATTTAGAACACCACAACACCCATCATTAGGCACCAACTACTGGGGTGGTGCATCTCCTATGTTAGCTAGAGACATACCCAAAGAATCCTTGGAACAAAAGTACCTCAGATTCAACAGCATCAGGACACACGATGAAATCTTTCCTCCTGTGTTCATACACTTGCCTCAAAACCCTAAACCAAGCAGGAAGGGACCCTTGTTAAAGCTGATATGGCCAGATAAAAAGTCAACCATGAAGAAGAAGAAAAGATGGTTGCCTAAGCTTGACCCAAAGAGAAGATGGCCTCAAGGTTGGTGATCCAAAATCCAATTCTGTAATTTTTTTTTTTTTTTTTTTTCCAATTTCAATAAGTTTGTAAAAAAAAAAAAACAATTTGATTTTTTTATTAAATAATAAAAAGAAACGAGTTACATACAAGCTACAAATTACAATCCGGTTGCTACAGCTTAAAGAAAGGAAGAGATGAGGTACCATCTAGTCCTTTTTCTTTGTAGTAAGCCATATATTCTTTATGGCTGGTTTCACGGTATATAGGTGGGCGGGTTTCTTCTAGAAGCTTCTTTATGGGCCCATACGGCTTATAGTTATTAGCAACGCTTGGATAGAAAAAACAGGCGGCCGATATTCTAGGCCCGATTCGTGCGGCCCGTACCCTGTGTTGAACACTTATGAATTTATCATTTGTGATGAGTTGCATGAGATCTCCGATGTTTACTATGAGTGCCCCTTTGATTGGCTCCACATCTACCCATTGGTTTTTTGGAGAACTTGGAGACCACCGATAGTGTCTTGAAGGAGAATGGTGAGGAAAGATGGGTCTGAGTGTTTAGTGGCTCCAAGAGTTAGATTTGGCTCAGGGCAAGAGGGGTAGTAATGACAGACGAGAGTTATGGTTTTCATACACTCGATGCTTGTTAGATAGTCTGTCTCAAGGCCTAATGCCTCTGAAAGGAGCTCGGCTAGTGTGTTTTTTAGCTTCATCATCTCTTCCATGTACTTCTTTATTGCTCCACTGCAAGACCGGTTTAAAATCATTATTTTTTTTTGTCAAAAATTAGTAAAATAACTTTAATTGGTATGTTGAAATCACTTTTTATTAATATATGATATATGCCATGCCATGATTTATGTACAAGAATTTGTTTCATTATGGTGTTGACAAAAAAGTTGTTCATTGGTCTCGATCCAGATCTTGTTTCATTGTCTTATTGTCTTTTTAGGACCAAAAAGTTCAATTCTTGTCCTTTTTCATTTTGATCGATTATTTTTTTCTTTTTTTTTAGTAATCATTTTTAATAAAATTATTTAGTAATAATGACAAAATTATAAATAAAATCTCCAATAAAATATTTTGAACTTTTTATCCAATTTGTACACTATTTTACATTTCTCATTTTTTGGAACTACAGGCACAAAAGACCAATTCCCGTATGATTTTGTCAATTTCTAAACGATCTTGTGTCTTCTTTTTAATATAAATGTTTTCGTCAATTTTTTGTAATTGTTAAATGTTTTTTATTTAAAAGATTATAATTTTAATCATTTCTATCATGAAATTGTATTGTAATTCGTAATACTAACTCAAAACAAACTCCAATCGAAATAACATTTTATATAATAACAATTACAAATACAAATATAACTAGAATCTCAAAAATAGTGATAAAATCATTTCAAGAATATGTTTTCAGTTCATCCAAATGGTCGTGCCGTATGAGACATTTTGTCTTGTGAGTTTTGACTAATGTTTTGAAGTTTTTATAGTTTTTGAGCGGAAAAATCAATATTTGAGATAATTTTCATGTTTTAAAATTATAAGTTAAAATTATGTTTTATTTTGTGGGATCTTAGGATCCCGATCCCGATCTTGCAAACCCAAAAATGATTGTACGTGGGATCCTGATCTTGACTTTTGATTTTTAACTTTTTCTTTTTTAAAAGTTTTTATAAACCATAGGTTCCATCCATTAAAAAAAACAAACGTGCTGATTACTCCAAACTATGAATACATTCGTATTATCTTATTCTAATTAAAACATATGTTATTTAGAAGTTTTTTTTATAGAATAACCGTCCAATTATTTATTTGTCACACTCATCATTGTCATTAACAATGATCATGGAAACCGGTGTAACCTTTTACTCGTATTTCAGTCTAGTTTTATACAGATTTCAATCTGTAATGCTTTAATTAGGAACCAAACCGGTACTAGTTAAGAGCCGATTTCAGTCCGGTTATATTGAATTTAAAATATAAGGGGAAATTACTAATCTAACCAAATTTATTAATGACTTATCACTTTTTAGCCAACATTTAGGACTTATTATCAAGGTTGTAGAACTCGTTACTCGGTACCTGTTCGGCCGACTACCGAGCAGTGAGTACCCGGGAGTACTCGGGGAGTACTCGGATTCGGTAATTCATGTAGAAATATTTTTAGGGAAATTATATATGTCAAAATCATAAGTTGATTGAAATATATAACAAAATTAAATATATGTGAATACACAAAAGCTAAAAAACACATAATGGTCTCACTTCGTGAATAATTACTGAAAATTTAAGATATATATATATATATATTATATATATATATATATATATATATATATATATATTATATATAGTAATAATCACATGTGTGTGTTGAATAATAAATCATTAAGTATATTATACATATTAATCACCGTGTTGACCGCGTTTTACAACACTACTCAGTTTAGTAAGGGGTTGATCAGAGAGTACTCGAGATTCTCTAACTCGCATCGATAAGGGGCCGAGTAGCGAGTACTCGGAGGAGTAATCGGCCAACTCGGCGAGTTTTACAACACTGCTTATTATAAAATAGCCATCGAAACCGTAGGTGGTTAAAATGACCTACTGTTTCGTCCATTTACCTACTGTTTTGATTTTAGTATATAAGGATTTTTTTTTTCATTTTTCATTACGAAACCGTAGACGAAAAAATGGTCTACTGTTTCCCAAAGAGTAGATTAAAAATGATCTACTGTTTCGTCTAAAAACCTACGGTTTTGGGGTTTTTTTTGGGTATTTTGACTACTATATCGTACCTAGTATATATTAAAAGAAAAATCTCTTTTAGAATAAAAGTTAGTGTTTTTTTCATCTTAAAAAAAAAAACCAAAACCGTAGGCTTTGGACGAAACAGTAGACCATTTTTGATCTACTCTTTGGGAAACAGTAGACTTCTCAGAGGAAATAGTAGACCATTTTTTCGTCTACGGTTTCGTAATGTAAAATGAAAAAAAAAATCCTTATATACTAAAATCAAAACAGTAGGTAAATGGGCGAAATAGTATGTCATTTTAACCACCTACGGTTTCGATGACTATTTTGTAATAAGTCCTAAATTCTGGCTAAAAAGTGATAAGTCATTAATGAATTTGATTAGATTAGTAATTTCCCAAGATATAATTGTTTAAGGAGTGATTGGTATCTTTTGAGACACGTTTTTGTGAGTTGACTAGTTTTAGTTTTGAACTGTTTGGATCATAAGTTGTTAGAAAAATACCTGAAAGCGTGTGGCAATGCATTAGGATCAAGTACACCATCAGCATAGTGACAAGATATGGAGTCTCTCCAGTTTACTGCTTTTGAGACATAAAGATCTCCATTTGAATAATACTTCACTTTTTGGTCATGCTCACGTGAGTACCACTCCATCTTCACCTCCGGTGGTTGCTCATGAAACCTTCGTATACCTTCTATCATCTCTTCCATAACACCACTCCCTATCCCATGGTTAACCACCTGCAAAATCCCCCAATTCGCCGCCGCGTCCTTTATCTCACCAACAATTTCACCTCGTTTTCCACCTTCTTCAACTCTTTCAAAATCTATCACCGGAACTTTAAGATTCATATCACATAATGTCCCCAGAGACACATTCTCCGGTGGGTGGACGAAAATCTCCGGGATTTTCAGCACACCTGAGTCTAACACTCCTTTCACTCCAGCTTTTGTTTCGTCAAAGTCAACTTTCGCTCTATAGAAATCCTTCCCATCTACTCCCATAGTGGCCATGGTGCTATGAGAGAGAGAGAGAGAGAGAGAGGGTATTAAGTGGGAAAGATGACACCAAGGCCACAATGACCACCTGCAACGTCAAATAGTATCTGGAAAACTGATCTACATGCAAAGAAGGCCCCACTTTCTTGGCTTTGCAAGGCTGATTTTGGATTCATCTCTCCACGCATGCAAACGCAATCTTTTTGGCAGGATTCTGAGAGTAAGAGGTGATGCGGTGATGGTGATGGTGATTTATTTGGATTACAGCAAATTAACAAAACCGTAATAGCTTAAACTAATCAACCCCAATTAATTATTTATGGATACCAACAACAAAAGAAACAAAATTGATCTTACTAACAAGGACAAGTGTGATTGCAAACAAATATTGTTTGGTTTGAAAAGACTAGCACTAGAAACATATCATTTACCGAATCATTTCATTTTGGCCTCACTAAACATAACATGACGATTCACACGGAGATCGATCGATCATACTTTTGGAATTCTAATTTGGTTTGTATCTTCCTTTGGATTCTTCTTCTTCACGTACAAAAAACCAATCTTATGAATGAATACTGTTGCACTCTTCTTCTTCTTCTCTCCCATTCTGAAATCACGCTATGGGAGCCTCTCAGCTTTCATTAGCTTACATTCGAACGAAATGAAATTGGGCCCTCAAATTACATCCCCAGTACAATTCAGAGACGTACATCGATTACATTTCTCTACCAAATCATATAAGTAATCAAAATAGAAAATGAACAAAAAGTTATTCATACATACAAAAAATTACATTAGGAAACGAGACATTAAAGATTTGAAGTTTTTATATACTGACTAGATACAAATTTACCGTTTCCTGCGGGACCGGCGGTAGTCGTCAGGTAGGCGATCTGATATTTGGCTCAACCTCTGTCCGGATCTGTCTGCGTAAACATAAAATGTTATTTCATCGAATGGTCCCTGAACTATATGCTAACATTCACTCAAGTCCCTCAGGCCTAACTGATAAATATATCTACAGTGAAAATGTCATATTAGCTAGGTTAACTAGGGGGTGTAAATGAGTTGAGCCGAGACCGAATATACCCAAACTCGGCTCGAGCTCGTTTATATTCATCTGGGCTCGAGCTTGAGCTCGGCTTGTTTCGAGCCTAGTTTTAAAGCTTGTGCTTGACTCGTGGGAAAAATAACATACTCGAGCTCGGCTCGGGCTCGTTTTGTTTATTACGTAAGCCTAAATGAATAACCCAATATCAAAACATGCATTCATACATTCTATATTTCAACTGCTTTAATGTCTATAAAATATAACCAAACATAAGAACATAAAGAGTAAAATTTCAAATTACAAAAATAGTAGTTAAACTCCCAAATTAAAAAACGACTTGAAATAAACAAATCTTCCTCGATGCAACTTCACTACTCGATACAAAGCCTTAGATGGCTAGATGTTTTGCGTGTGAAGGTATGCTCTTAAAACTGAATTGGAAAAAAAAGTGAATGGGTTGATTAAAAGATATTAAGAAAGCTTATTACTTTATTAGTAAAATGTAATATATAAACTATAAAGTAAGAAAATAATTTTATATTATAATATATATAGGCTTATTTAGGCTCGCGCAGGGGCGGAGGGAGTAAGGGGACTAGCAGGTGTGCTCCCCTAATATTAGCCCAACAAATTTGTTGTTTTTGTTTAAAAAGGTCACTTAATTTTTTTATTTTTATTTTTTTTTTTATTTTTTTTTTGCACTTTAAGGGAATGAAGTTGATTTTTTTCATATCAAAAATACCACTGCCCTCCATTTGAAGGGGTTATCCGGTAATGCCATGCCTAGTCAACATATTTGACTTTTGACTACCATTAAACATCATTAAACTTCAAAGTTTATCATCATCTTCAAAGTTTGGCTATGGATTTGCAAAGCACACATCTCTTCATTGGTGACATAATCATACCGTGATAATAGCCTGTAACGCTCGTGTTTCTAGGCTAGACATTAATGATGATGTAATAGTCTAGGCCAACCTTTGTAATTTGTTTCGAAGTAATAAAGATGTATTTTTTTTTGAAAGAGCAGTAATAAAGATGTATTATTTAAATGTTATGTGCTTTATACTTAATTATTATGATTTAATAAATTAAGGATAAAAATAAGCGTCAAAAATAAGTTTTAGATAAAGCCGATATCTATGAAGAAAGTTGTAGTGGATGAAACAATGATTCCGGAGATACAAAGAATACTGAAATCCGAGTTATAACGAGGAAGTTATGACCTGTCGAAGTTTCGCGATACAACCGGCACGATGCTGTGTGACGTAAAAAGTGAATTTACGATAAAGTGCTTTTTAGCCTTAGTGATCTAAATGAAAGTCGTAGTATACGTTAAACCGAGAGCGTGTATAAAAAGAATGTCCAAATCTGACTTCGTATGAGGAAGTTATAAATTTTCTAAGATTTGGCATACTAGTATGCAGCCCGAAATTCGAATTATAGATCGAACGATTTTTATCCGACACAACCTAAACAAGAATCGAAGATCTCATCGATAGTGGTTCAACGGTAAAAAGACAGATGACAACGGACGTCGGATGAAGAAGTTATGAATTTTTAACAGACTTTCCTATCCCGACCTGTTAAAAATATAACTTTAAAAATAAATTCAAAATTTACTGAGGGAGTCTAAGCGAAAGTTGTAGAACACAGTCTCACCTACGCGTGGATATAAAGAACGTAAAAAACGGAGCTCGTATGCGAAAGTTACGAATTTTTGAAGTTTGAAAAATCGGAGTACGCCCAGCGTACTCGTGTACACGGTCTGAGCTTGGCCACATCGCCTACTCCTCCACATGGTGCACACGTGTTCGTAGCCTTGACGCGTCCGAGATGACCCTTTTGTACGCCCAACGTACTCGATGTACGCCCAACGTAATAACTGGTGAAGTAGTACGCTCCGCGTACCAGGATATTACGCCCATCGTAATTCGAGGCATCAACCACTATAAATAGAACTCAAGGTCATCCGAATTTTGTTTACAAACTTACATCCTTTCACCTTATACTTTCTTTTTACCTACACTAAATACCCCCAAGCCTAGAATACCTTCCTAGCATCATAAGAAAGCCCCAGAGAGCCCGAAGACCCCGAGAAAAAGAGTTTTTCAAGTCGAAACTCTACCCGCGTGAAGCCCGGTTTTTGAGAAAACATCCCGGTTTCGTCGAAAAAGATTGTTTTAAGAGACGAAGTGTTGTCCAATCACCGTTAAATCATATGAGTGTGTAGTCACTTTCATTTTACACATAGATATGACGTATTTTCTATAAAATACGTGCTATGTGTATAAATATTGTTTGTTTATTTGAGATGGATGTTGAATGAAGTTTTTATACATGTTTAGAATGATTTAAACTGTATATGTATTTTTATCTACAAATATGTTGGGTAAAACATGGGTAGAGGAAATAGTTGATGTGTGATAAAATGATGAGAGGCCTCGATGTTGTTGTTGTTTCAGTCATCTAGCGGAGTATAGATGACGACCGCAGACTTTTCTAGACAGTCCAGTGGAACGCTCGCAACTTTTAGGTGTTTGTGAACAATGTGTTCACCGGTGTACTCCATCCCCCTCATGGTTACCTTACGGACATATATGACTGATGAATCCCCTTAGCAGTAAAGTCCATCCCGATGATGATCCTTAGGCTAGGTCCCTTATGATAGTTGTTTAGGGACGTAAAGTGAGGATAATGGGAACGGGTAATCAGGGTTATTGTCGGTTGATGAAATTAATAAAATTATTATTGGTTGATGAAATTAATAAATTTATTGTTGGTTGATGAAAATTAATAAATTTATTTATTGTGGGTTGAAAACCCTATATGGTCACCAGGCTCCCAAGTCTGACCCACTCAGCTTTTTATATTACAGGTAGTGGACCCAGAGCATAGTTGGATGATGACGAGGGATTTTTGGATTATAGGCCAGTAGATGTAAATAACTGTTGTAAGGCTTATAATATATTGTTTATGCTTTTTGTTTGTATCGATGTGGACATCCTGAGTATTGTAATGAAATGAAAAATACATTTCTTTAAGAAACGCTTTGATAAATTTTTATCATATTTTGTTTTGGGGACAAATTCCGCAACACTTTTTGGAAGATTACTCTGATTTTTATTTTAAAAGCATAAACTAAATCGGTCTTTTCTGGCCGAGAAATTGGGGATGTCACAGTTGGTATAAGAGCATTAGTTTAAGCGAACTAGGAATTTGTAGGATTTTTAGACTTAAACTTAGAATGCTAAGTGATGATCGTGAGATGAGTGTCTACCATATTTTAGACACGAGCACTAGTATATTTTAGGAAAGATGCCTAAAATGCTTTTAGGTGTTAAATGCTATATGTTTGCCATATATGATATTATTTGTTCGGATCTATGGTCTGTTGCCGACCAGATCTGGAAACCTTATGTGTTCAGGATTATAAGCGTATGACTACGATATTAGAACTAGCATGTAAACGTTTCGGAGTGATAAGGAGAATTTAAATATCTATTGTGAATAAAGATCTAAATTTGCCTAATTTGGTGTATAGATCAAAATGGAAAGAACCCGAAGTGGAGCTGGAAATGCAAATAGAAATCAGCAACCTCAACCCCAAGTGATGGAACAGGTGCCTATAGCAGAAGCTGCACCAGAACCAATTACAATGGCTGGAGTACAAGCCATGATTCAGGCTATGATGGCTGAAAAAAGGGAGGAAATGAGACAATTATTGCTGAACAACAAAAATGAACCTTCAATGTCTGGTGAACAACCTGAACTAAATGGCGATCAGTCAGAGAAAGGAAATTTTAGTAGATATTTTGGTCAAACTGAACCGCTTGTGGTTAGGAGGAATAACCAAGAGGATGGACTTGAGAGAAATGGATGCAAGTACAAAGACTTTATGACTTGCAAGCCGTCAACTTTCACTGGAAAGGAAGATCTCGTCGGAGTAATGGATTGGATCTCAGAAATGGAATTAGCCTTCATGACATGTGGTTGCCAAGGCAAGTTACA